TGGTAGGTGGTGAAAATAAAGAAGGAATATGAAAAAATAAACAGTGAGGAAGGTAACAAAACCTGTGAGAAGAGAAAGCCACAGAGAGATGTTGTCAAGAGTCTTATAGGTAAGAGAGAACACCTTGGGCTACTGCTACACAGTTTAAGCTTAACGTAAGAACTGGAGATTTATCTAGAACTTGCAGTTAGGGGTTTCTGGTCTTGCTACATATGGTAAATCAGATGTGGCCGTTGCTTCAGTGTCTCTAGCTCTTTCTTTGGATTGTGCTTGCTCTTAGATTGGGTTGTGGATGGGTCTGAGGACAGCACATCCATTCATCCCACACCACTCTATCCATTCTTACCTCAGAACCTTGGCACCTTTTGCTCCCCTGGTGTGTAATGCACTTCCCTTGGGAGTTGCATGGTTTGTCCCCTACGTCACGCTCTGTTCTGGTGTCACTCCTCAGACAGGCCTTACTTGACCGGTTATAGTCATTCTCCAATTCTTTTCCCTGCTTTGTTTTTCTCCATTGTACTTGTCTTTACTTAACAGCTACACGTTCCATAGTTATCCATTCACATGCTTTATTTTCTGTCTCTCCTGATAGAAGGTGAGTCCCAGAGAGCAAGAGATCTGCTATTGACTGCTTATTTGAGCTCCATGGAGTGAGCACCTCTTCCGTGTAGTGACTGAATACTCTTTGGCAGTACTGTCCAAAGGAATACGCTATGAAAACGGAAATGTTCCATGTCTTCTGTCCAATACAAAGGCCACCACCCCTCTGTGTCCATTGGACACTTGAAATGTAGTTTGTATTCTTGATAACTGATGGCAAAATTTACATCACTTTGTCTAATTTAAATTCAAACATTCACATTTAAATAATGGTATTGTATTGAAGATCATAACACTGGTTATTATTATAAAGGGTCAAAGACAGGAAGCATAATCAGTAGACAATAAAGAAAGATCAGGAAAGAAAAAGAGAAAATTCAAAATGACACCATGGAACTCAAGCAGGGGTTATTTCACAGCATAAGGAGCTACGAAAAAATGAAGTCCATTCTTGTGAAGTCCCATGAGTTGTAGAGTTAGCTATATATTATAGATAATATCTAGATCTATATGGAAAAATTCTTTTAAAAAACAGGTTTGAGGTAGATTGAGAAATAAACCATTCATAGAGTATATAGCCAGCAAAACAAAAATATTAATGACATGGGATGATGTTTACAATGTATAGATAAGCTAAAATGAAAATTCATAATACAGCATGGCCCCAATTGCACGGCACACATATGTGTCTATATCTTTGGAAGATTTGTAGGCGATCTTAATTTTAGTTTTGACATTTTATTAATTGCTAGAATTATCCGCAGGAACATTGTTTTAATGGGAATGGAGAGAAATAAATAAATAAATCACTGGCATACTTCACACAGTAAATAGCTGCAATTTTCATGTTTCAAAATGAGCCAAAGTGATAGAAAATACAGTTACTAAAAGAATTACAAATATACATTTCCAAAGTTAATAATCGTTGTTCCTATTTTCCTTCCATGGCCTGTGAACACACACGTAGGATATCTTACTTTATGGTTTATAGCTGCAATATCAAAATGCTGGCAGACTAGCACAGACTGTCGAATATTCTCAGTCTGAAACAGAAAAAAGTCTCCTCTTTGATGGATTAACCTGGGCAGGAAAGAAACTAATAGTAGCTTGGTGTGCTTGCCCTGGCATCCTTTACTGTCCTAAGAGGTTGAATTCTCAGATCCTTATTTACAGCCATATTTTACCAACCACTAGATGGCTCTCTGTGCCTGTGACCGGATGAAGGCAGACCAGATTCATTCAGGTATGGATGCTCATTCCTCCTTAGGCCCACATTGAAGCATTTCCTATGTGTGCAGTGAGACCCAACAAGGGTCTTCTACAGGGAAAGCACAATAACCTTCGTGTGTACAAGTCTGTGTGTAGATCTGTTCCTGTTAATCCGCAGTATTTAGAAGCAAATGGTTTAATGCACTCCCCGTCAAAGAACCTTTGAGTGAAACAAACAACATTCCACAGCTTAGCTAGACTGTGATTCTATTTAGTAAGGACATGGTGAGAACTCAACTTTGTTCATGGAAACAAATATACAGCCATCAAAGTGCTTGGTATTGCAGTACTGTCGAGAAAGTTCAGCTAATAAGCATCCTTGGCTGAGAGGACAGTAGTGACAGCCCTTTTCAGTCATTCCTGAGAATGTCACTGACGATACAGGTGGAACTGTGGAAATATAGTCTGTTGTTCAAAACCTGTACAGATTCACAGAGTCCTGAAATTACAAAAACATACTCCAAATACTCAGGCAGATCTCACAATAATATAGAAATACCAACATTTCAGAAATACCAACAGCCATGCCAAATCTGAATTTTCAGAAAGAAAGAAATCAGCTTTCCTTTCCCTTCATACTCTATTCTTTAATGCCAATCTCAATCTGAGTAGCAGTAAGATCTGCTTTAAATGAGAAAACACAGTACATGGAAACATTACTCAGTTCTGTGGACATGCATGAGTGCCATGTATGAATGGTACTTCTGCAGTCAGAAAAGTGCATTAAGAAAGATCCTCATGACCCTTTTTTGGTTCATAAACATGATGATTGGGTGTTCATGCCATTCTGTGACATGTGCCTCCTCAAAACCTTGTTATAACATCAGTGTATTACTCATTTGGTGTTTAAAGAAAAGAAGGAAAAGCCCCTCCCCCAAAGTTCTGTGCTCAGTGGGTAAAGTGCTTGCTACACTTGAATTCCACACACCTGGAATCCCAGAGCCCTTTTGGCATGATTAGAGGTAGAGGCAGGAGAACTTGCCAGCCAGTTAGCCTGAATGAAGGAGAACTTGTTTCGAATGATGTGAAAGGTGAGAATCAACACCTGAAGTTGTCTTGTGACCTCTACATGTATGCTGTGGCGACATACTTGCCTACACATGCCCCCTCCCCCCACCACGCACACATGATTTGCTTATGGGTATTCCTTATCTATAAGCCTTTGCATATAGAGCACTATTTATTATCCCTTAAGCTTCAAGTTTCTCTAAACCATGGTAAAGCCTTTAGGGACAAGAGGAAAGTTTTGAACCTTAAACCATGTTGGGTAAGACTTCCATTTTTAACAAAAAGCCTAAAGCATCATTTGGCTCATGGTAACAAGAGGGTAGACTCACTCTGTTTTAGAGTGGAGGAACCCACACTTGACCTGTTAAATTTTTTCTCCAGCTTCAAAATGTGTAAGTTGAAATAGAACCTGCCTTCCCAAGGTGAGATAGGCCAGATCACATCTTTCTATTTCTTTTAAAGTCTCTTTCTTGCATAAATCTGTATAGACAAGGATATTAATTTCTTATTGGTGTTGTAACAGAATACCAGAAACCTAGTGGTCTACGACCTTTATTAGCCTGGAATAGTTTCTAGTGGCTGCCAGTACTCCTTGGCTTATGGCCCCTTTCTCTACCCTTCTGCTTCCTTCCCTACATCATTACATTGTAATTTTTCCCTGAATCATTCTCATGTAGATACTTGTGATTACTGAGTCCACACAAATACGCCAAGATAACTCTCCACCTCCCAATATTTAACAATCACATCTTCACAGGTGCTGAGAGTTTTGGGCATGGAAACTATTATTCAGCTTATCAGAGTGAAAATAAGCTAACTCTTGCACAGACCCATGCCTCTTGTTCCCCATCTTTCTGTCACATTCTTATTTTGTTGGTCCAGATGAAAGCTGGATTTAGAATGAGATGCTAATATTTAGAGTTAAAAAAACACAACACCTGAAGTTTTCCATTGTGTTAAACCCAATCTTTTTCTAAAGAGCTATGGACCAAGATTCAGCATTAACACATTTGCTGGTAAAGTGTCATTTATCTTTTACTGTCCCTTGAATTTCATTATTCAGTCTCCGTTGGGAAGCTAGGACAGCAGATGACAGACTGCAAGTTCTTCACTAATACCCTAAGCTATCACAGCACCAGTTTGAACCATGGTTGTCACTGCTCCAGAAAGCCAACCACCCTGGAGCCATAGAAGTGCCAAGCTATACTGAACCTCAGAGGTCCCTTCATTGCTGGCTAACTCTACAGTGCACTTTAATTGCAGGTGCAGTTTAGTAGACCAGAGCTTTGGTAGGGTTTGAAAACAGTAGATATCTTTATTTCTCTCTGTATTGGCTCATTAAAGTAGGATGTCCTAAGTCTAATTACACACATGTTGGAAGAGAACTAAAAGCAGTTCCCTATGGAAAAACTAGAACGTCAACAAGAGCAATCACCATCACCATCATCATCATCACCACCATCATCACCATCATCATCATCACCACCACCGTCATCATCATCACCATCACCATCGTCAGAACATACTGTGCTCCAAGTACTAGTTTTAGTACATTAAATAGATGATAAAACGTTCACCATAAACCTACGAAACAGTCACATTTTATGATCCAGGGAATTGGAAGCTGGAGATATCAGGCATGTTTCTCAAGGTGAAATTGTAGAGCTAAGATTAAAATATAGCTGTCTACTGTAGTTCTCTCTCTCTCTCTCTCTCTCTCTCTCTCTCTCTCTCTCTCTTGCCTTTCCCCCTCTCTGGGCTCAAACTCATAGAACTCCTCCTGTCTCAGACTCCCGAGCACTGGTATTATAGTGCGAGTTATCACACTCAACTGTAATTCTTATTTCCTACCTTATGCCACTTCCATTTATTTGTCATTATTTTTTCTCATCTACATTATAAAATGATAATATTTGTTCTATATACTTCATAGAGTAACTGTGAGGGTAAACAATAACAGAGAAAAGATTTTGATAAATGAAAACCTACTCTGATCTCTTTTGTCTTATTCTTAACTGTACACATATACTTGCTTTTAGAAAAAGAAGCATTGAAGGGGCAGAATGCTGACTTCTACCATCTAGCTATAACCGTCGTCAACATTTTTATCAATGAAATTGCATATGCATTCTTCAGAAACAAGGTTGTATTTTACATTTATTTGTGTGTGTGTGTGTGTGTGTGTGTGTGTGTGTTGTTTTTTATATTGCTGTATGTCGGTAAGTATATGCTCATTGGGAATGACTGCATATACTTACTTTGATTGTTTTGGAACAACCAAAGCCAGGTGTGTACATGCCTCCCTCTTTTACCCTTGTCTCCAGGATGTTATAGAGGCAGCGATAGTTCCATTTTGTTCTTTGGGTGTAGGCTAACAAACATGCTAAATACGGAGGGAGCTATTAATTTCTTTTTCTTCCTGAGGACATCACACCTCCTATAAAACATAGCCTATTCTACTTCTCTATATGTTTATACGTTTTTCTCCACCTTACAGGACTCAGGGGGATAATATAAACAGATTTGTGATGAAGCCTTAAAAAGCACAGACACTACTAGGATACACATAATGAAACCTTTCCTAGATGAATATTTCCAATGAGTAACAATGAGGTATAAGGCAGCCAGACTGAAGGAGGAACCATCTTACTTCATTCTTAGCACCTGAAACCTTATCTCCATCACAGGCCAGCCCTGGCCCATCAGATGCCAGTCTTTCAGAAGGAGGCTTTCCTTCTGCTTATGTATACCAGGCCAGGTCAGGGATCAACTGGCTCCTTCAATGCAGGAGATCAAACACAACTACCAATCTCTCCTGATCTTACACTTAAGAAAAACAAAACATAGAAAACAAGCAGAAAAACATCAGTGAAGTTGAGAAAAGGGGCAAGAATTATCTTAGTTTACCTTTCCTCTACCCCTTTGGTCCTCCGATCCCATGAAGGGAGGATCAGAAAGACAACTGAATGTTCTTAAGGCTTTGCACAGTTTGTTATTCACGCATCATTGCAAAGGGAAATGTGGTACTGGCTATGATATTCTTTTCCTCCTCGCTGCATGTCAGCGCCACACTTCTTGTGCTGTACGTTTCTTTTACTGTGGCAGGAGCTAGAGAAGTTACTGAAATGAGCAATAGTATGCTGAGAGACCCACATAGTTGCCTAGGGCGATGGCACTCAAAGTAGCTGGTTTGCAAATTGTTATCAGCCCATTAAGAAACAGGGGGCCTGTGCCAGCTTGAATCAAGATAGATGCTTTCTTTATCAAGAAAGATTTGCTGTAAAAAGTGTTGAATGAGCCGAGTAGTGTCCAAAGTGAGGGTGGGGTAGGCCTGGTTGTGTCCATAGTCTCCTGAATGATAAATGTGCCCATAGGGAGGAATATTGTGATGAATATGAAGGACAAAGTGTTCACAAAAACTTGTGTATATCCTATTGTAATTCTATGACACCTGTCTAAGGTTCTACATATTGTTAGGTATGGCATAAGTAAAATTTGCCACTGAAATAGAAACAGGAGACTCTGTTCCCAAGCCAGTGTACAAAATAGTCATGAATCGAGCTCTTCTTTACAAATGAGGGATAAACAGGGAGTAATGTAGAGCTCTTTTGACTACTAATGGAGAAGTAGGGAGATAAAGACATACTGATTATTACTATTTTCTGTTTTGGAGACAGAGTCTCACTATGCAACCCAGGCTCGCCTTGAACTCAGTATCCTTTCTCATCATCCTGAGTTTTAGCATCACAGATGTGGACCATGGCTCCCCACCTAAGACTCATTGCTTCTTATCACTGACCAGTGCTTTTCCAGCAACTATTTGGATGACACTAGAGATTTATTCAAAGTACTTTTCACATTCTCATTTGATTTATGAAGTGAATCAGAATGATAAGAAACATTCTTTTGATTGATAAGAAGAGATTATTTGCTCAGAGCTAGGGTAACTTTCCAAAGATTCCAATGGCCAATGAGAGACAGAGATAGATTGGAAATCTTTTACCCATATTACGTATCTTTGATCATTATTTCCATTGTGGTAGGAATTTGCTTGAAATATTCATGAAATAAAACCTAATAGTACAAAATTCAATGTCTAACTGCTTAGTTTTTTATCTTATGATGTTTGATCATGAATTGAATCATAAATTACATCTAAGATATAACAGTAAAGTAAGATCAAGGTCAAATACATTATTTGTAGATTAGATGATGTTGATGTAAATTCAAAGAAAAGCAGGCAAGACCTACTAATTACTTGGTAAATGGTGTCTGCTAGTCTCATCTGACTAATTGTTTAGAACAAGAAATGAAATTTTCAAATTAAGAAAAAGCTTCCAAATTAGTTCCAGTTCTCTGATCTTCATGAGGAACCTGGAAAAGATCACCACTAGGAACAGTATACATCACTTGACATTTAATTTGAAATAATTTATCTTCAAGTTGGTAATAATTAGGTGCTACTTCTAGCCATTCATTACAAATTGCAAAAAAAAAAAATTCCTCCAGAGAAAAGAGAGAGATGGCTGTGCTTTGCATAAAGCATGTCAACGAAAACCAACACAGTTGAGAGCAGGTGTTTTAAAACTAGTACCCTTTACAGGTCTTCCTCAGGTACCTAAGTTATATGGTGGTATCATGCTCTGTCCTAGGTACCATGCAAGAGTACTGCTGTATTAGCTGAATCCTAATGAACAGGTTTGGGTTCTTAGTCTTGTGTTGTCATAGATATATTTTATATATCATAATTGATATGTTTATATCTTTATGCATTATATGCTATATATAGTTCATATATCTAAATTAATCTGTGAATATAATAACTGTGAGACAAGCATAGTCATGATTGGTATATTCAGTCAGAGTTGGAAATAGCAGGAGTTGAAGACATAGTTCATTTGGTAAAGTGCTTGTCTTATGATCATGAGGACTTGAGTTTATTCTCAGAACCACATTAAGAATAGCTGGGCATGGTAATGTGTAAGGAGGTGGAAAGAGGCACATCCCTAGGACTTGCCAACCAGCCAGTCTGGCCAATTACATGAGGTCCACTCCAGAGAAAGGTCCTGTATCAAAAATTTTAAAGAAAGAAGAAAGAAAAGAAAGGAAGGAAGGAAGGAGGGAATAAGGTAAACAAAGCCTGAGGGATGACACCCAAGGTTGTCCCCTGACTACACACACCTGCACACACATATATACATACATACACACATATACATACATATATACACACAAGGAGTTGGAAATACTAGTGTAGTCACATTTGAACTGCATGGGTTTGGAGCCAAGCCAATTATATTACTTCATTATCTCTGGCTGATGAAAACCTATATAGCGTTCTAACAGATATCTCTTTTAGAAAAGAATCCATATCTATCAGTGCCTTAACAGCTAAAATTTTAGGGGTTAGCTCTGAAGAAATTACACAAAACCCCCAGAAGAAAAAGTACTGTGTGAAAGGAAGAGAAAGAAAAACTTCTGAGAATTAATGTAACATCAGTGTAAATGGACCAGGCTCATATACAGCATCATTATTTGAAGGTGACAAGAAAGGAATTTAGAATGAAGTGACCTTCTATTTAAAATGGAACAGCCTCAAGAAGGGATTCAAGTGTGGTGGTAAAGTCAGAACCTTCTGACTTTGATCCATCCCACATGACATGTTATATTAAGCTTTTATTATGTGGTGATACTGTCCATATGTTTTTTGGAAGTGAATTGTTGACTCCTATACTTATGGTGGATTCTATGCCTGAAGGAAGCTTCTCCCTTTCAAGCTGCTGACCCAACCTCTGTTCTTGTGTTTTGAATCAATAGTATACTGAAATAAATTACTAGGCTTCTCCCAGAGTCTTAGTATTTATTTCCATCTAAGATCTGTGACACAATGGTACCTAAACCATTACTTATTAATTAAAACTTTCATATGAGAAAATCAGCATCCCAAGAACAAATGAGAGAAGACAGCTGTTGCTGCTTCTACTCTGAAAGCAGTTTAGATTTGTTTGAATAAGTAGCACAATTTTATCTTCCTTGGCTGTATGGGTAAGTCCACTTTCTTCTAGAATAGTTTATTCAGGCATCGTACAATCAACCAATGAGGTCATTGTTCGGTAGACTCCAAAGAGTGGTTAAATTAAGTTAATTTTATTTAATGTGTAAAATGACTTTGACATCCTTTTTATATCTAGAAGTTTTAACACACACACACACACACACACACACACACACACCAGTATATTAGAGAAAGATCTACTTTTCAGAGGAGTCCAAAGGAAGATCAGCTATTAATTTTGCTGAAAGCAGATTGTACTCATATGCTATAATTGCATATTATGATGACCTGACATTGAGCAGGATATTTTAAATACAGAATGATATAGAACTACACTTAAGTGATATACTAAAAGTAAGATGAGACAAGTTAGGTATATTCAAACTTAGAATATAAATGGAGATAGAAGGAAATGTTTTCAGCCAGACAAACTATCTGATTCATACAGTGATCTTCACTTTTCAAAATCTGTACCAGTGACGATGGTGATTTTAAATACAGAAATGAATGTGTTTGGTGGGGTGCTCACTTTATAGTCTGCTTGTAACCACTTTCCCTGGAGGACTTTATCCCCGGAATGGTCTTAAAGCTTGGAAGTTTACTGATTCTAAATGCAGTTCTGTGGTTTTTCCTTTCTGCTTGTAGTGTGCTGTGGACTGCACACATCTATCATTAACACAATTCCCCTTCTAACCAAGGAACACTAATTTGGGGAGAAAATTCTTGCAAATTAAGGCTCCTGCCAAACAATCTGCAAATGGGAAGGAGTCTGGAGACTGTGACTGCTATTGGCAACTTCTGAAGGATTAGGTAATAAAGAAGCAGTGATGAGCATCCAGCCTGCTGACTCCTGCATTTCGTTAGGTCTGATTCCGTATATATATTAATAATGGTGCGTCCTTATGGGTGCAATGTCCTGTTTCTAACACCCTGGCCTCTGGCAGCATTGTGCACCTGCCTATGTTTTCCATGAGTCTCATTTGCTACCTAGGACCATTTGGATTCAGATAACAGAAATGTTTTAGATAAGAATTAATTAGCCTGCACTCTGCAGATCAAGATCTACAGCTGGTTTTTAAATAGGAATCTTCTGGCTAGCTGCTGAAAGGAGTTCCTAAGACGTAAAATGCAAGTTTCAATTTTTTTTCCTAACAAAAGGAATCATTAGTATTCACTGGATATTTTAGGCACAGAGTCTATCAAACTTTTCGCTAGTACCTTGTCCTACTCTCTTCAGCTTTTATCTCTGCAAATACATCAAAAAGTTCAATCAGAGAGATTAGGAATATTTTTTCCAGTTAAAAAACAGAGCAAAAATGATCGTGAAGTAAAAATTTGCCAATGCCTTGCCTCTACTAGTCTAATGTTCACCGATTCCCAGAACTTTCCTTAGTTTCTCAGTCTTTAAAATGGGACCAATTCCAGTGACCTGTTTCATAAACATCTTGTACAAAATGACAGGACTTGGTAAGATAAAAGCAATCCAGGAAATGCAGAAAACTTGTTTCTCAGAGAACTGTCTTGTCTTTGAATACCGTGTCTCCTCATTGTTATTTGTCAACACGTATAGCCACTCATAGTTTCTTTTATTGAAAATACATTGATTTTTTTCAAATCCATAAGAAACCAAGCCCCATATGTTGGCTTTTCAATAGGAAAGCAGAAATGGGCTAACCACAGCAATTGCATGCCAGCCTCTGAGCCCACAACACATAGAAGGAAGGAGGGGACAAGGAAACGGTCTGCAGATTAGTCTCTTCATCCTTTTATATGGTCTCAGGTGATACTTCTAACGCTCTCCAGTACCCAAGACTATCAGTCACTCTTCTTCACCCAAGGCTTCTGTGCTACCTTCAGACTTCCTGTTTACCCAGAGGAATTCAAAGGGGGCATGCTTTCCTCCTCACAACATCCCTAAGGCCCAGGCACACCCCGGAAGAAGTCAAAAAGAGCAAATGCTCCTTCTCCATTACCTGTTCTCAGAGATAGCCCTCCTCCCCCAACTGAAGAGCTTGGCAGAGTCTGGGGCACAAGGATTCCTTGCTCCAGGTTGGGACCCTCTATCGTTCTCCACGGTGCTGAACTTCGACTTTCAGATGTCTGGAGCCCCTTAGATTTCAATCCCAGGTTGTCAAAACATGATCCTCCCCTCCCACCCTGCATATTCTCCCCACATTCTCCCCACCGACCGCGACCTTCCAGTTCGCATTTCATTTCCATATGCGTCTAAAATGTTTTATTTCATCTCTAGTGAAGTCCTTCAACCTACCACCGACAGACACTGTCCAGCCCTCGAACAGGATCAAAGTTGAAAAAGCCCAAGTTCCTCCATACTTCACCCAGCCTCTTCATCCCCCCTCCTCCCTCTCGGGTCGAGACTCCCAGCAGCGCACATCCCTCCACGCGCCAGACTCTTCTCACCTGACTCTCCCGCGGAAACTCGTGGCGCACGATGCTGATCACTGGGATGTGCAGGACAGAGCTGACCAAGTCCAGCTCCATCATCTCGCCCTGGCTCTGGGGGAAGGCCAGAAACGCAGAAACCCCTTGCACCACCACGGTGTGGCACACACTCTGTAGGAAGGAGAAAGGGTCACTACTCCACGGCGAGCTAGGGGAGGAGAAGGGCAAAAGCGGCAGATCGCCCAGGCCCGCCTCGATGGCCATCACTACTTCCAAAGACAGGTTATAGGGGAGCAGCCCCTCCACTCGGTTCAGGTTTTCCACTGCGAAGAGGAGGGCGTCCCGCGGCCACAAGGTCTCAGCCCCGGTGCCCTCTCCAGGCTTCCGGGAGCCCGGCAGACCCCGGCCATGCAGAGTGGTCCCCAACCAGCGTGCACCCTGCGAGGGCGCCGGGGGCCTCCAAGTCCCTGACTCCGGCTCATTCCTCTGGACACCCGCCTGGCTGCCATCCTGAGCGCGGCTGGTTGCTCGTGGGGCCGTGGTCCAGGGTTGCAAGTGCACCGCGCCCACCCTCACAGCGTGTCCGATGCGCTTGAGGATCTGGCAGGGTTGCGGGTGCGAGGAGGAGCCAGGTACCCCGGCCAGCACCAGTGCGCAGGGGAGCGGCAGTAGCAGACAGACCCTGCTCAGCAGCCACCACAAAGTCAGTCTCCTCATTACTGAGACCCGCAGGGAGAAAGCGCGCCCCCTCCTGCGCCCTGCTCGCCCCTCTGCAGCCGCCGCCCGAGGTCTCTGCCGCCCGAGGTCTCCACCTCCAAGTCCGGAGTGCAGCTTCCCGACTCAGCGAAGCGGTCCCAGGAGCTGGAGCGGTCCCGAGGGCATCCAAGTGGGAGCCTAGCAAATACCTAGCAGTGGCAGATGCGGTTCCCAGGCTCTTCCGCTTAGCATCCTCTGGCCGCCTGGTCCCTGCGCTAGCCGGGCAGGAGGACCCGCCAGCGCCGGTCACCCGCGGCTTGTGTGTCTAGTCCCTGCTCGCCCCATCTGCAGGGCACCTGGGGCACAGCGCCTGACCCTCCGAGAAGCCGCGGGACTTCCTAGGGGGCAGCGGTGACAGAGAAGCGGCGTTCTCACTTGGCTGGATTCCTTTTCCTTTTGGTCCAGGCTTCACCCACTTATTTACTGGGGTCGCGGAGGAGAGGGCGTTCACGCGCGGGGTGCGGAAAAGCAGCATCCGAGTCTGCTCTTCTTCCCGGTCCGCCACCCTCTCGCCGGCACCCTCAGAGCTGGCTTCATTTTCCTTGTTTCCTCTCTACTTCCTCTCTTCCTTTCTTTGAGAATCTTTCTGCCCAGGCGCCACCGCCGTGCTTCCTCTGAGGTGCGACACAACTGGCCAGCAAAGGGTGGTTCTGCTTGGAGCGCCAAAGTTCTCCCCGCCTCAGTCGGCGCCTCCCTGTTGCTGAGCCCTAGCGCCAACCTGTCGCTTGGCTGCGCTAAACGCCCACTGATGGTGAGATTCTCGGGTGGCACAATCCTGCGCCCCCGAAAGTCCTCTCCCTTAAAGGCCGGGAGTCCACCGCTGGCACAATTTTGGTGAGACCAGGGACGCAAAGACTGAGACTGGGAGAATTCTGATTTCCAAGTCTCCGGGGAGATCTGAAAATCCAGTCACTGGAGTAGGTTAAAAGACTGACTTTAAGGAACCACTTCGAGCTGCCACTTTAAAGTGTTTTCTAGTTCAAGACATTAAAGGAAGACTTATTTACACATCTAATCTTGGTTTGCTTCTCTTTGGCAGGGGAAACTGCGTTTTTAAAAGGGTTCTGTTTTTGAGGTTCTCAGAATTAAAACAAAAGGGAATTCGTAACAATTACCTATTAAAGAAAATATAGTCTGGGCCTGCCAGATGCCTCAGGGATAAAGACACTTGCCACCAGGTCAGACGACATGAGTTCGATCCTTGGGTTCCACAGAGTGGAAGGGGAGAGCTGACTCCTGTAAGTTGTCCTCTGGCCTGCAAATGTGTGCCTGGCACACCCTGACACCCTGGCCCCTACATAAAATAAATGAAACTGATAAAAAATACATTCGGATTCTGAAAAGCATCCTTTGGTTGTGCCTAGTATGAATCAGGAGTCCCCAGGTAGCAGTTTCTTACACAGGCAACAGGGAGGTCACTGGGTCAATCATCTCATCTTTTCCTTCAGGGTTTGAATAATCTATCATTGAAAAGAAAGGAAAGAGTTACTGGCAAGTTTGTGATTTCCACACATTCAGTAAATTGACTTTATTTTATGTTACAGGATCATTTACAAGGAAGGTGAGAGAGGTAACCACCAGGTGGCCAGTGCTGGGCATCAGCAATTCTGAATCCTATACCACTTCCTGAGAACATGACCTTAGCAATTTATTTCACCTGACCTTGGCCTGCTATTTGGATCTGCTAAATTGTTATGCAAATACAGCTAGCTTTTAGCTCCAGAGAGTAGCTTTGATTCCAGAGCTGAAGTCTCCATCATGTTTTAAATCTTTGGGATAAAGAAATTCCAGCCAAATAAAATTAAGTAAAACCCTGAGACATTTCCCTTCAGTGCTAAATAAGTTTTGCCAGACTGAGGTGCTTCTGGGGAAAAGGGGCTTCCATGAATGAGGTGTAAAATCTCAGTTGGGGCTAAATTAGACTGGAAAGTCCTGCCCTACCTTGAGGACCGGGAGAGCAATCTTCTGAGGGGGAGAAAACTTCTTTAGCCTACTAGCAATTTCTCTTTGTTCCAAAGGCTCCTGCTGCTTAGATAAGAGTATGTACAGTGTAGAATTTCATGATTCTTGCATGACAGGCAGATTGGGAATCCAATCTCTGCACTTAGGAGGTCTAATCATCTCTCTTGGAGCATGTGGTATGTGCATGGTAGAGTGTTACATGGGTGAATGGAAGTTCCCAGAGAAACATGCATGTTCAAACTGGACTTTCTTCTGCAGGGTTGATTAACTGATCAGCGCTCAAATGATTGTGGAGAGTTTGAAATGTTGTAGATCCATTCAGGTTACCTTTAGCTGCTAAATAGCCATTTCCTTGCCCACCTCTGTTTCTGACCTAACATCCCATGAATAACAGTTAAAAAACTGTTTTGAAAGGTTATTTATTAGCACATCACCAGGTCCCACCAACCAGAAAACTAAGAATGTCATCAGGATAGCATCTGAGACCTACAGTAGGATACCCCCTCCCAACTTTGCAATAACCAGCCTACTGAACACACCCATTTGAAGAGTATGTTCATTTACAACTTTCTTTGTTCTGTTACTGTAAGAAGTTGATGAAATTGCTACCTTATTGGAACATGGTATTTGGGGTAACCTAAAACTGTTCCTGGGTCCTGGTCACTCATATTTGGCTCCAGAATAAGCTTTTTTTTTTGGTTAAGAGCACTGACTGTTCTTGCAGAGGACCTTGGTTCTATTCCCAGAACCCACATGGAGGCTATGAACCATCCTTAACTCCAGTCCCAGGGAAATCCAAAGCCCTCTTCTGACTTCCATGGCACTGCATGACACAGGTGCACTCACAAACATGCAGGCAATACAGTCATACACACAAAATAAAAATAATAAATAAAAAATATTTAAAAACTATCTCTTTTATTCTTTCGAGGTGAGAGCTGTTTATTTTGTCCACACATGCTTGATTGTGGCCCTAGCTGAGTGGCAACACAGCCTTGCACGTGTGCTCAGATTGGGTTCCCAAGAGAAAAGGTATAGCTGGAGAGTAGTTGGATCCAATTGTGAAATGTGTCCCGGATTCACTGCATTAGGCCCTTCACAAATTCAGTGTCCTTGTGAGAAAGGATGGCTGACCCGGTCATTTGAAAAAGAGCAGATGCTCACCAGATTTCTGAAGATGATACTGCTGCTGGAGCTTGCAATCAAATGACAGTTGAAGCTTGTGAACACTGCGTAAATGGGACACACTGCTCTTCCTTTTCTGTTCCCTTCTGTTTCTTTCCTTGGCTTTAAATTGTGGATTATTGGTGTGTATGTGTGTGTGTGTGTGTGTGTGTGTGTGTGTGTATGTGTGTGAAAGTGTATATGTGTGTGTATATGTGTATGTATGTGCATATGTGTGAGTGTATATGTGTATGTATGTATGAAGTGTGCATATGTGTATGTGTGTGTAGGCCAGGGGTCAGTCTCTGATACTGTTGTTCTTCAGGAGTAGTCCACCTTGTCTTTTGAACCAGAATCTGTCCCTGGGAGCTGGGACTCATGGATTAGGCTAAGTGCTGGCCAATGAGTCTTGGGTGTCCTCCTGTCTCTGCTTCCCTAGTGCTGAGATTACAGGCATATGCTACCATGCCTGCTTGTTGTTGTGTAACTGTAATGTATCTTCTGAGACTTGAACTTAGGTCCTTATACTTCAGTGACAAGCAGTTCACTCTCTCCCCAGCCTCTGTTTTCCTTTTACAGCCTAGCTTTCTCTCCTTGTCACTGCAGACAGAGCATCTCTGACATGATTGATTCCTCTCTCCTGTCCTACCTCTTCCCTTCTCTCTCTCTTTCTCTTTCTTCTCTCTTTTTCATGCCTCAAGGTCTTAAGTTTCAAAAGTCTTTTAGAGTGAGTCATCAATGCAACAATGGATTACTAAGCCCTACTGTGTGCCAGGCACACAGCCATTCTAGAGCTAGATGAACAAACTCCTATTATGAGAAGCAAACTCTTTTCTCCCTTCCCAAACTTAGTTCATTTTTCAACAGAATACTAACACTGAGCTTATATGCTAGTGGGAGAGACAGACAACAAAGCACACAATTAAATACACAAAAAGCATGCTTGTTGGTGTTTAAGAGAAAAATAAAGGAATCAAAAGGAAACATAGGATGTGAGTGAGTTGTGACTTTAGGTAAGAAAGTCAGGAAAAAACTCTGAGAAAATAACTTTTCAGTAAAGAGAGATAAGAGAATGATTCATGTGAATATATGCAGGAAGGACTTTCAAGGGTTGGAAACAGCAACTGAAAGGGTCCTTTAGACAGACACATTTCCGGAGTATCTGAGGAAGTGTAAGGGGTCTACAGTAGCTGGAGCACAATGAATCCCAACAGCTACAGTGATGGCGGGTCAGACAGCACAAGGCATTGATGAACTCCGGCTTCTGTTTTCAGTAGAGGGAGGCATGAGATGAAGAGTAATAGGATTAATTTTGCTTGGTTTTGAGACAAGGTCTTATTCTATAGCCCAGGCTGGCCTCAAACTCAAGGCAATCCTCCTCCCTTATCCTCTAACCCCACTGTTGAGATTGCAAGCATATAACATACCACCACTGGGACTAATGTAACAGACCCACTAGCTGTTCAGTTAATAGTACATGGAAGGTGGGCAAATGTGGAAACCAGATCAGATATGAGGCAGTTGCAATAATGTATCGAGAGATAAGGTTCCTGCTAAATCATAACAGTTTTATCAGGCTAATGTGATTGCTCCCATTCTAATGCATGAGAAATTGAATTTGAGAAATATCAAGTTATTGACGAAGTTGTCATACAGTGAGAGGCTTCAGCATTACCATCAGTGTTAAAGATCATCCCAGCTACACCACAGGTAGCAAGTCAAATTTCAAAGTTAGCTCACCCAGAGAAGACATAGCTCTGTTTGTTATCTGACTCAGAATGAGAACTACTGATCTAAGAACACACGTTGGAAAGTCAAACAAAAACAAATCCAAATGCATAATTTAAAATGTGGTCTGTGCACATCTGTGCTTTGTGGTGCTGGTAATGGCTGGAAGAAAAGCCGTGACGTTCTGGAAGTAGCCCAGCACAGGCTCCAGTGAAGGATGATGCCAGGATTCAGAGCTGGATTCTCTTCTCTGCACTTTTCCCTGTGGGTATGACATTTAGCCTCCCATAGCGTGAGCTTCCTCTTCTCTATGCTGAGTGTGGTGACAGCTCTTGACAGTTGTCTGTATAGAAACAGCAGCATTTAGACTCTAGCAAACCTCAAATTCTGTGCAAATGGGAACCTTTCTTCACTCAAATTTATAATGCTTTAGAAAATTATCCTTTCCCCTACTTCTATACCCTGGAAAATTTAAAGTTGTGTCCCTTCCTAGCTTTTTTTTTTTTAAATCGATAGTATTGTTATAGATAAATGGCAGTGATCTAAAAGGACATTTCCTTAATTATGGAATATGCTTTGTGTTTTTTTACTTTTTATATGTACTTTTTATATGTATTGACTGCATGTATGTAAGTGTACCTGTGCTGTACAATTCTCACAGAGGTCAGAAGAGTGCATCAGATTCCCCTGGAAATGGAGTTAAGGATGGTTAACCATCGTGTGGGTGCTGGGAATCAAACTCAGGTTCTTTGCCAGAATAGCCAGTGCTCTTAATCTCTGAGCCGTCTTTCCAGCCTGG